GTTTTGCGCCATGCTTGGGAGAAGGTGTCTAGTCTAAGCCCTGTGACAAAAACTATTGGGCACAATGGGACCAGTTGAAGCTTGAAGATGGTATTCTTCTCCGGAGATGGGAAACTACCGATGGGAAAGTGACGACCTGGCAAACGGTTATACCAAGAAAGTTACGGGAAGTTGTGTTGCATCAATCGCATGATACTGTAACAGGAGGACATCTCGGAGTTAAGAAAACATTGAGTCCCCTACGACAGAGATTTTACTGGATAGGTATGAGACAAGATGTGGAAGAATGGTGCAGAACATGCAGTACATGTTGTGCTAAAAGGGGACCCAAGCATAAGGGACGTGCCCCAATGAAGTTATATGAAGTTGGCGCTTTTAAATTTTCTAATGTTTTCCATTTGTACTTCTTGCCACTGTTGTTGACTTTCTTGTAGTTGCTGCTGTCTTTCCTGTAGTTGCTGCTGACTTTCCTGCAACTGTTGGAGACTTTCTTCCTGTTTGTTTTCTTGTTCTAGTTGTCACTGCTCTAATCTCTCTTCTTGTTTCTTTTCCTTTTCCTCCAACAACTGCTATAACCTCTCTTCTTGTTTATTTTGTTGTTCGAGCTGCCACTGTTGCAGGTTTTCTTGCAACTGCTGTTGTCTCTCTTCTTGTTTCATTTCTTGTTTATTTTGTTGTTCGACCTGCCATTGTTGCAGGTTTTCTTGTAACTGCTGTTGTCTCTCATCTTGTTTACTTTCTCGTTCTTCTTGTTTCTTTTGCTGTTCTTGTATTGCTGCTGTCAAATTTGCTAAGCTGTAGTTTGATTTGCCGCATCTCGTTTCCATCTTCTCTTTTTCTTCTTTTTCTTTATCCCACTTTCTGACACCAATTTGTTACGTTTCCGTTCGTTAGTTAATTTTCCGTAAATTCGTTCCGACGAAACTTTAGCGACACAAGTCCTTTCTTAAATAAAACTGGTTTATTCTTTCCGAATACAACTTTACGATACACTTTATTTCAACAGTCGCTCTATAACAAACGCTTAACTCACAACGAACTTCTCACGTGCTCAACAATATTCTTACTCATTACCTCCGCAGTTCAATTACACACATATTTTTCCCGTCACTTTGTGGCCGTCTTATATATACTAGACTAACACATATCTAGTAAACGCTAGAGCATTCATGAAGGAACAGGATATTTCTAAAAGGACGTGGCGTGATACTAGTCACTTGACCTCGCTGACGCAACATTATATTTTAGTGAATCAATAAAACATTGTTGATGATAGTATCAATGTAGATCGCACACTAAAGTAGCATCTATAAGTGATACATAAATTTGAAAATATTTTCATGTGAAATTATCCATGCACTTGAGAATTATTATTAAAACAGGTAAAATCTAGTGTGTTAACTTTTATTTACTAGATTGAATAATGAAATATAAATGCCATATCAATTGAATATGAAAAGAAAAATGGCTCAACAATAGATGGCAGTTAAGTATATAAAGTATAGTAAGGAAGTTAACTGTCGTAGTGTCTAACATATTATCATGGATTCTATTTTTTGATGTAAGGTTGTTAGTTAATGAATCTTGAACAATGACGATTATTGAAAAATTGTAAGTTCTTATTTTTGCTTGTTATTATTATAATTTATATATATATATATATAGGTTTATAACTGATATGCTTCAATGTACGGGGTATAGTAGTGTAGTATTATTATCACTACAAGTTACAACTTACAAGATTAATAATATTACTAATAGTAATGCTAATATATGATAGTATAGTTATGCTGGGTAACTAAACTATGGAACAATAATATTATTAATAAACTTGCATGATTATAAATGTAACGTGTAACAATTAACAGTTACTTATGAAATAAAATTATAGCGTAAAATGAAGTTAACTTTTGGACTATGTACTTATCATATTGACAGGCATAATAATCACTATTATTATTAAGGCCCAATGCTGATAAGACGAGGTTATATATATATATATATGATAATGATATTTCATTTATATTACGAAAGTTTCAAAAAGTTGAGTAAAGGTTACTTTAACTAAGTATAACTAAGAGCACTTCTGTAATTGATTCTGTTAAGTTTATGTTTTTAAGGAATTTTATAATCATAGTTTTTAATTACATAAAAATTTAAAAACAATCACAGATGCTAGAATTAATAGTAATACTATTAGTATTAATATTATTTTCATTTATATGAATGAATGCTTTGAATTAAAATTATTGGTAAAACATCCAAAGTCCCTCAGACACAAAGTGACAAAGACAGACCATTTGTATGTATTTAGAGTATCTAAAACTCTAAAAGTATTTTATGTATTTGAATTTTAATAAGATTTTATAACTTTCATTTTTCTTTATATAAATTAATATAATTTTGCCTATTCTGTACTACCTTGTTTTAGATTTTTACTTTTGCATGCTTTTGGTATTTATATGCATAAAATTAATTTACTAACTGTTATTATACATTTTCACAATATTCTTTAGCTACTTGAAGTTTCATGCATCAAAAAAAGAAAGTCATTTGATGATATGTGCTTAAATAGTTTTGTTGTGTAGCATTTACACTTGTAGATCCTATAGCCTGTTAGAATTGTGAAGTTGCTCATCAGTATATAAACCATTATTCCTTTATGGTGTTTTAGAGTTCACAAAATGAAACTTTATATATAGTTTATATGACAATGGGGAAATAAAAGTTATATTTGGTAATATAACATATAGACAACAAGGACTGTTTTGTTCTTCTAGGCAGAACTTGTGCATTCATTACTGAAGAAAAGTGGCTAAAGAAAATGAAACCCAACTTTATTTTTCAGGAAATTATTTATCCCACTTTTACATTTCTATAAGGTGCTGACCTCCATACTGTTAATAGTATCTTATTCCATGTGTTAATCATGTTAGAAAAGTCAAACTCTTTAACAACAACCCCATCTGTTTCTTCCAAATCTCAAACTTGTCTTCAGGATACAACACAAAACAATGAGAAGTATTTTTCCTATTGATCTTCTAGATGATATTGCAAGCTCAATAAGATTACTTCTTACACTTATTTCCTTAAGAGAAAATAAGTTAATTAATCTAACCCTTCTGTTCCTGTAATAATTCTAGTAGTTCTATTCTACCCTTTCCAACGAGTTCGTATCCTGTAATAGGTAATATCAAAATTATATATATAGTATACCAAGTGAGGCTTAACTGGTGATTTATACAGAGACTAGCAGATGCCTGTTGAAACAATTCAATGGTAAATTTCCTAAAAATTGTAAAATATAATGAAGTATTTATAACATCTTTTGAAAACAATGTCTCAATGAAATTTTGTATATTTCACAACATGGAAAATGTTAGAAAAACTAAATCAAATTATATGATATTTTTAAGCTGAAACTAGATACTCTTTAAATATTTCCAGTCAGATGGTAAAATTCAAGGGTATTAGTTATACTCAGAGTTTGCAATAGTACTGGGGGTACCAGGTTACCAGTACCAACTGAGTACCACCGGTACCCGGAAATCGAGCATTTCTAATCATATGACTTGAGCAGTTAGAAATTCAATTATTCTTCCCAGTGTGTTCTTGTGGGAAAATTTTTTTCACATCAAACCACATTTTCAATTATTTGTAAGCCCACATGGTATGATGACTATGGCAATGAATCAGTTGAAATCTAGGCTTTCTATTGGTTATAAATTTAATGAGAGTCAGCCTCAAAAACAACTATTAGCAAATTATAAATTAGAGCATGTCAGAGGTAGGCATGGAAAGTGGTTTCTGAATTTTCATGGATTGCTCTTTAGCCCCATAAGATTGAAGAATATAAAAATATAGCTTTAGAATATCAGTGATGAAATTATGGAGAATATTTTATGTTACATTTTGTAGCTTTCTAGGGGGTGTACAAAAAAATCCAGAAGAAGAGATGGCTCAAGAATAAATATCCAAATTTTCACACTAAGGAAATTTGAGGTTGTTTTTAAATATTTGCTTATACAATTAAAACTTTAAATTTATATAATATAAAAATTTGATTTTTTTATCTATGGTTTGATGTCAAGTTTGTTCATATACCATGATAATTAAGTAGTTTAATTAAATTTTGAATGTAACTCACTTAAACGTTGTGACATGCGCAGTTTGACCATCCCGCTAAGGATTAATCACACATGCACCTACCTAACGTGCAATCAGTCACGTAGGCATATTCACATTTTCCAGTTTTCCATATTTCATGCTACTGCCAATTTTCACATTGAGATTCGCTTATCGACTGAAGTATGAACTCAAAACTTCTGCATCAAACATTTATAATTCTATGAAAAGCAAAGCTGAAATACCAGAGGAGGTGTTCTTTCAAAATGTAATGGGCAGTGCCCTTAGGGCAAATTGTAGGAGTTTCAATTATACTGCCAATTACACCAAATTTATTTAGTTGGGGATTTGAAGTGGCTAGTGGAGCTCACAAGTCGCTAACTCGAGGTAATAATTTACAGATAGAATAAAGAAACAGATTCCAAGACTAACATTGAACAAAATATAACAACATTTTTCCACATAGCATAAAATAATAGTCAAAAGTTTACTAATCGTTATAACTTTTACTGTTACTTTTAATCAGCACCAATAACCAGAACATATAGAGTACATTTCCCTAATATAAACATGAATGTCCTTTACTACTAAATTACATTAATTAAATAGAATACATGGCAGATACTTACAACAGAGCTGGAGGTTGGAGATCATAGTGGAGAACTTCAAGAACGACTGTAACAACTCGAACAAGACTGATAAGAACTGATTTTGCGGCTTCAGACACGAGTTTTTAACCCATATTGTTGACTTCCCAAATAGTGTTTCTAACTACCTGCAAGTAGCTCTAACACTTTATTGGTCAGTTTGTGCAACTTCCTGGGTTAGTTCAAAACCATAACCAAAACTCGGTGATTGGTTACTGTTATGGTGAGTTAGCTGATTGCCTTCTCACTTGTTCTAGTACACCAGCATCATGTTAGGAATATATCATCAAAGTACTGCTTTTACATGTTAACATCAACGTTTTCGTAGTCTCCACAGTACTAACAAGTTGGCATCAGTAATTAATCACTGCCAATCACTTGTGCTAGCACTTTTCTCAACATCTCTGACGTAGCTTAATTTTTTATAACTCCTAACTCGTTATTTTAAATACCATTTAACCAGCTAGCTATACTTTCCTAGTTCTTGACCTTATTTTGTAATACAAGCATGTTTACTTACGATATTACTTCATGTATATGTTCACTTAAAAACTCAGAGAATTGTTGTAACTTCTTTCCTAAACTCTTTTAAAATGCTAAAAATACTGAAACATTTGTAAAATTCCCTCAAAAACTTCGAAGGTGGGACATGTGAAAACATATATTATTCTCAACATATGATGTACTGTAAACCAGTACCAATACTGCCAGTACTGATGGCCATAAACTGCTAACCCTGTTTATGTTAAGATGCATCTTTCTTTATTATTGTGTTCCTTTCCCATTTTCATGCATCCTGTGAATGCAGAATGAGTTTTTCTTTCATCCAATTAATCTATTTTGTGGCCAGAATTCATATTTTTGCATTAACACAACCACCGAATGTCAGTAATTGAATTAAAGATACTTATTTCTTTGGCTTTTAAATGTCTAATTATATCATTAAAAAACATCAGAAAAGTTTGAAAAATATTATCTTGGTATAATGCAGGAAGCAAAAAATATTCAATAGCAGAACTTGAGAGTTTTTTTATTAAAATTCTGTCAAATATCATTTAAAATATATGATGTAGTAGCTGACATCTAAGTATTTAGAAAAAGCACAGGATATCAATACCTCTTTTAAGATTTTTGCAATTGACTCTTCATACATCTTGTACATAACCTTCACCTTTATTTAACCGCTCAAATACTTAACCCCCCCCCCCTTTTTTGGTGTCACTTACAAATAAGTTATAGATATATGTTGGAAAACTCTTAATAACTTTAATATATTCAATTCATTGTAGTCAAATGCATTCCTAAAAGAATTAAATCTAAGATATTAAGTTACTGGCTTCATGTAAAGCAAGGTGCTTATATGTCCATGTTATTAAAAATATAACAATTTCTTGGTTTATCTGGTTTTTAATGACACTTTTAAGGCAAAAGGTGTATTAGTGATAAGGAGACAGTTAATATATTCTTTCTGTTTACATTAACTGAATGCTCGTGGGGTCAGTTCGATATTGGAGAAAGAATGCTGACTATAATTCCAAATTTGCTACGTGTATCTACATGAAATGTAGCAAACTTTACTTAAATGTACCAGTCTGTTGTAAACAAAAAATCTGATGTTTTACAAAAGTATTGTACTCAAGATATGTCTGTGAATTGACGTCATTCTGACTTAGACCTTGACATGGTGATGTTCATGTGAAGAATAAAAATTATTTTGTTAGTTGTAAAGTTTGCATGTTGCATAACCTCTAGAAACTCCAAAATATCTACAGTTTAGATGTCACAAAATCAACAATATAGGATAAAGGTATTAACTTATACCTCTGACATCAAATACATATTATGTTTTGAATAGCACTCTGTAAAAGGTCATGGCATGCACACTGACCACCACATGTACACATCAGGTTAATATGTTGATTTATTTATCAATATCTAATTCATAGATTCTGTTTCTGTATAGTAACTTAAATTAGTGATTCATTATGTATCATTTAATTAATATTTTTTATCCGGTTTTGTGATTAGATACTTTTTTTAATATTATAAAATTCACTTTTATGATTTTGGTTTTACCACTCTTTAACACTCCTTTTGAAGTTGCTGTGTAATGTTTCCCATAGTTAGTCACACTAAATTCCTTCTTGCATTTTAATTCATTTTTTCATTGTGTAGCAGTCATAATATATATATATATATGATAATTACATAACCTCTGGCAATACAGTTTCAAGGTCATCAGTCTCAAAATACGAGTGTGAGACAAAGATCCCCAGTCAGCACTGATTTCTTAACATCTTGATGTTTTATTTATTGCATGACAACCTTTGAAAAACATTTTAACTTACCCATAATTAAGGTAGAATGTACATTAGACATGTAACTTTCCCAAAGTATTTTAAAACAAATCTTTATTTTATCTATTTCTTTAGAAATATCCAGACTGAAATGTGCAGAAGTCAAGAACCTCAACAAAGAGTATATGTGCTTGCTGCTGAAAAGTTTTGAAAAGTACACATTATCATAAGCAGTAAAGAAACAAAACGAAAAAATATGGGTGATCAAAGGAAAAGTTTAATCTTTTCACACGGTAATCATGCTTCTTTCTTTTATTTAACTATGTGAAATTCAGGAGCATAATCTTAAAGGTGAACAGCATTTTTGTATTATAAACTACGTGCAGTTAGTTGTCATTCTACACACATGTGCTGTAAGATGAACAAAACATTAAAGTGATGATATAGAAGTGGTGTTAGTGATGAAAATATCTCCTCCTCTCTCAGACATGATGGAAATCACTAATTGTATTTGCTTATAAACTGAATGAACCATTCAGGTTAATTTACAGTTTCTTAGTTTGACTTCTAGAAAATTGGTTTCATTATGAGCTGAGAGCCAAGGATTTTTTTCTGACAGATTGTGTATGTCAATCCCAATATTTTCAGTTGTGCATTTTGTGATTTTGACTTTTCTGGAAAGGACATATTTTATAATAGTAAATGGACATGAATTACAGAGAATTATCATGCTGGAATTACAAGATTTTTCCAAGAAAAATAAAGCCTTACTATTTCAGACTGAACATGAGTGTAAAGTGAGGCAAAAAATCCAGTGGTGGATCTGGGAGGAACATCCACCCAGAAAACGTTTTGGTTTTTGGTTCCAAAGTGGTGTAATTTCTTGCATTGTGAATGTAAAAACCTGCATGAAACATCATAGCCAAATATATATTATATGTCTGGTGTACTTTAGACACAAAGAATGGGGCTTGGAAGACCATCATTTGTGAGTTGCATGGTTAAAACCTAACTCTGGTCCAGGTGGGCCCTCCAGCTTGGAAGACCATCATTTGTGGGTTGCATGGTTAAAACCTAACTCTGGTCCAGGTGGGCCCTACAGGCTGATGAATTTCAGTATGGCCTAAGTCTTCTGAGAGACTTTGCAGGTGTGGATGTAGTAACAAAATAGTGTGACAAGAGCATGATTTTATTAGGCACGATGAGCTCACCAACTCAGGCCTGTAGCTACAGTTGTAGAAATACTATGAAACAGTGTACACATGATGTTGGGTGTTTGCACTTTATTCTCTTACATTACTGCACCAGATGCATGATAAATAACTGCTTCCCATCACAGGTTTAACTCTTCTACCACAATGCCACTGCCTCTATCCCTGGAATTATCATGATAGCCCTCTGCTGTACCCTTATCAATAAGTCAATGTTCTTTCTTAGATAAAGAGGCCAAAACTTTACCCAGTATTCCAAGTGAGACAGAACATGGGATTTATATTGAGAGATAGTTATTTCATTTAACTTGTAATCAATATGTTTATAAATACACCCTAAAAGTGTATTAGATTTACTATGAGAAATGCTATTTACTTAGGCTCTGGGGTGTCCTAAAACATTATAGTTCATCCAAGCATGATGGGTGGTCTAGGAGTAGGTGTTCAGGGTTGCTGAACCTGAATACAGAATAAGATTTTTTCTGTTCTTAGCCACTCTCAGGATTCTGTGGTTAACATGTTTCAAACTGTGATGAACCTACTCATGAGCTAGTGAGACCAAACATGATGCATGTATGCAGATATAATGGGTGGTTACCCCTAAAAGGTTTTTCTTTTTCAAATACAAACCCCTCTTGGGATAGCTATAGAAGTGATTAAGGATAATGGAGGAGTTTGATCAGTACATTGGAGCCTCTGTGAATCATGAGGGATCTTTCAAACTAGGTATTTTATGTTAGTCCAGATAACAAGCAACATGCTCAAAAAAAAAGAAAGAGAACAGATTAGTAGGATAATTTTGAAAGCTTCTACTATCAGGCTCTCCAGAAATTTTGCTGATAAAGAAGTAAGATTGATTAACCTATAATTTTTGGGCAATTCTTATCACTCCTTTTAAAAGTATGAGTAGCATTAGAAATTCTCCAATCCTCAGATACCTGCCCACCATTATTTGATCTCCCAAAAATATGAGAGAGAAAGGCTCACATGTCTGGTCTAATTTAAAACTGGGAAATGTTTGTCTGTCCCTGGTGTTTTATTTGGACTGTCATCCAATTGCACTGTTTCCACTAAATTTCACCTTTCCCATTATCACCAGGTGTTTTCCTCCCCTGTCTTCTCCACTCTGTTCCAATCCTTCCTTCTTTACTGACTCCCATGCTTGACTAGGACCTTAATGTGGCTTTACATGCTCTCACATGTGCCCAATTTGAGCCATTGGCTTCTTGTTCTTTATACCATCGTTTTCTTAAGACATACCTTCTTCTTCTTGCGTGTGATCACAATCATTTGGATGTATATGCCATTGATGCTTCCCACACTCTCTTTCACTGTACTTATTTACTTTTCTACCCAGCCCGATCCCTTCTTACCAAGACTTCAGCTGCTTGTGAAGGTTATTGTTCTTTCTCTTCTATCACCCTCTTTCTCACCTCTGTGCTCACTCAGACCTGGACTGTTTCTTTTGACCGGTTCCAGCTGTGCAATATTTTTTGGCATAAACATTTCCTTTTTGTGGTTTCCATCATCATTTGTTTTTGACTTGGGACCCCTTTTCATCCAGGGACCATGTCACCTCCTACGCTTACTGTATGGGTCTACCAACTCCTCTGGGTGTATTCTTCCCTGGATATTGATGCTTGCAGGCTTTTACACATTTCACTGAATGAAGTTCATCACCTGCCCCACTATCTTGTATCTCATTTTCACCGACCCTTGGGTAAGATCCTTCAGACTAGCATGTCCATCTGCCATTATCTTCATCATCTGTTTTGTCTCCTGCAGGATTTTGATTTCCTCCAGTTGCTATTTTTCAATCTACACAACATCTTTGAGAAAGGAAAGTACATATTTTTTTCCTCACTCTGTTCCACCTTATAAGATCCTACCAGATTGCTGGTGTTGTATCCCAGGGTATGCTTATTTTCCAAAATCTGCATCAGACCAAGGGTAATTGAAAGTGCTCAACCCATTTACCCTGACTCTACCAGTACCCACTGTTGAGATGGACCACTTGAGGTATCAATGTGAGATTAAGATTACTCAACTGCCCAATCCAGACCATACCTTCCATGGACTATCATGGAGAAAGCCAGCATTAAGGAGGTGACTGTCCTCTTCTCTCGTTCCTGCTTTTCAAGATAGAGTTTCTTGGTTACCCAATTGCACTGTCTCCAGTAAAAGGTCTTTCTCGCAGGCAGGCATCTGATGGGGACCTGAGTGCTTCTCTAAGTCTCTCCAATGTGAATTCTCCAAGGGAGCATGGGAAACCCTTGTCATTTATCCAGCTAGATGGATTCATCACCCCTGTTTCGACCCATCCAATTGCACTGTCTCCAGTAAAAGGTCTTTCTCGCAGGCAGGCATCTGATGGGGACCTGAGTGCTTCTCTAAGTCTCTCCAATGTGAATTCTCCAAGGGAGCATGGGAAAACCTTGTAATTTATCCAGCTAGATGGATTCATCACCCCTGTTTCGACCCATCCAATTGAGCTGAGGTGAGACACAGTAAGGTGTGATTGCACCCTAACCACACTACACTTCTTGGCTTGTCACACACTTAAGTGCAAGTGCTTGGTTGGTGGTGAAAAAGTTTCATCCCTGTGACATTTGGAGTTTTATTTTATCTTTCTCTCTCTCTTTCAGACAAAAAGTATGCTCTGGTCAAGATGAGATGAGGGTCTCCCACAGGTGTGCCCTTGCCATCAGCTGTCAAACTCCATGGGCTTTCCCTTCTGGTGCTTTCTTAAGGGAGCCCATCTAGGTTTAATGTTTTGCACCAGCCCCTTTACCATTTCAGTGTTGGATTCTGGCTATTGTGTGTGTAGAGGTGAGTTATTGGAAGTTTATATTCTCCTTACATGAAAATGTATTTCCAATAGATACTCACCTATTCACACCTTCCCACCCATCCTCCCCACTTACAATTCACTTTCTCTTTTATTCGGCTAAGAATGAAGTTTCTCACCTGCAATTGTATAGGGGGGAATTACTGCACATAGAGGTTGTTTCACCCTCGTTTTGTTGGAGGGCTGTTTTTCATGATGACATCATCAAATACCAGCACAGTTCACATTAAACACATGAATTTAGATGAAGTTAGCCCAAGGATAGCAGCATGCAAATCTCATAGGCAGAAATAGCAATTATGTATTTGGAGGTAAGTATTTATCAGAAATACATTTTCAGTAAAGTAAAATGTTAACATTGGTCAGCATTATAAACAGTTTACATAATGAATTGATGTTATATAGTAATCTAAGTTGGCTAGCTTTGGAAATCAATGTACACATGAAAAAGTTGGTTTGTTCATATTGAAATAAAACATGTATCTGATTTTTCTGTGATGTATATTTTACCCAGAAAAGCGAGTACAGTTGAGACTGGAGTTTAAGCCAGGATCAAGCTCCAAACGAGTCCAAATTCCGTCTTCTGTCCCTGGAGTATGCTATCATGTACCTACGTAAGTTTCTCTATATAAAAAAATAGTATGCCTACAAATCTGTCAGTATCATTTATGTCCATGTTACAGAAACAAGTGTAGCACTTGATATGAACAAATATGTATAGTATGTTGATTTTCTTTGATAATGTGCATTTCTAATGTATAGATATATTAGTGCTTTCTTGACACTCCTAAGCTCTTGAGTGTTTCTACTTCCTTACTAACTTTGTGTTCCTTTCCAATATACATTTTGAGTGTTCCTTCTTGGCAAACATATTTACTGTTCCTACTTCCTGACACACATCTTTAGTGTTCCTCCTTCCTGACACACACCTTGAGTGTTCCTACTTCCTGACACACACCTTGAGTGTTCCTCCTTCCTGACACACACCTTGAGTGTTCCTACTTCCTGACACACACCTTGAGTGTTCCTACTTCCTGACACACACCTTGAGTGTTCCTATTTCCTGACACACACCTTGAGGTGTTCCTATTTCCTGACGCACTTATTTAGTGTTCCTACTTCCTGACACACATATTTAGTGTTCCTACTTCCTGACACACATATTTAGTGTTCCTACTTCCTGACACACATATTTAGTGTTCCTACTTCCTGACACACATATTTAGTGTTCCTACTTCCTGACACACACATTTAGTGTTCCTCCTTTCTGACACACTTATTTAGTGTTCCTTCCTTCTGAGACATTTTGTGTTCCTACTTCCTGATACGGTATAGCTTCCTGGACTCAAGTAGGAGTCTCCTTTAGTTGTGATGGCTTTGATTAGTTCTGTTTAAGTTATCATTGTTGAGATTTCAATGTAGGAGATGACACAATTTTAAGATAAAATCATGCATTTATTGTGTGCTGCAGTGTTAATCAGGCCTTTTGATTACCTAGAGTAAAGTTAAATTTTGAAATATTTATTTATACTTTTTTTTCTGTCAATATTGTGGTACCATGAGGATAGCTCACAGAGCAGAGGAGTCAGGCCCATGAATAGCAGGAGGCTCATGGATCTCATGTGCATTTGTTTATTTCTGATTTGGGCCACAAAGAATGAGACAGAACACAGATTTGTACAAGGAACACATATTTTATGGAAATCTTTATGGTGTACAGCGTAAACAACAACACACTATCATACAATACAAGATAACACTACTGCAATACAGTTTATTGTGGGAAAGTGATCATTGTTTGTCACAAAAAGGATGTGAGAGCAATGAAAACTATAGAACAATATGTTCTTGCTGTGCATTCTTCCTTCTGTAATCTAAGTTAGTATCTAAAGGTAATCACAAGACAAGATTATCTTTAAGTTAAAATGTAAAACGATAAAATCAACCCTCATTTATCTTTTGCAAAATCCCACTCAGATTTTACCAAAACGATAATAATCCATTCTTTAAATTTAAACCTATGCTCCATTGTTCTATGATGTAACTAGTACATAATTTTTTTCATTGGTGAATTTAAACAAATATTAGTTAAATTACAGGCTAAAGCCAAACAGCACCCTCACAAAAAATAATTAAAGTTATCCCTGAAGTTGAAAGAGAAATTAAAGAGTTCTTGAAGAGTAGAACTACATAAAAATACACAAACTTGTTACCAGCAATTGAAAGTGAGAACTGTAAAGGGGTCTTGTATAGAAGTTAATTAAAGAAACACTACAAAAACTCTGTTTAAGTCCAAATGAAATTAACTCTAGTATTCCGTGTCAAGATTTATGTATATCCCTCTACAATTTACGTAAGTGAAATCCGTGTAGAATCTGCTGAAATTTGTTAGAAAATCTGCTCTCCCAGGCCCCAACACTGTTTTAAATAAGACAAAAAACTCTCAAGTTTCAGACATGATTGATGTCTGTTAGATCAGTCAGCTAATGGGCATAGGCACTTTCAGCTACTGTCTATTAACCAACAAGAATAACTAGGTTTACTAATTAAAAGCACATTGTAATTCCTGCAAGAGAATGGGATAAAAAGGCACCCAATCTACACTTGATCCAATTAGCCAGTGGGGAAAGTTAGGGTTAGAAACTTGCTTGATCAATACTATGTGTCAATCAGGGAACCAAACAAAATTTCTTAAACTTTTAAACTAAAAGTAGTGTAAAACATGTTGTACAGCTTGGTACTACAATAACGAAAGTCCAAATAGCTAAACAACAAACACACAAACAAAATCCAGAGAAACACAAAAAATAAACAAACAAACTTGAGATTACTATTTTAATACTGACCAAAAGATGAAATATTTCTTCATTTAGATAGTAATATTCTTTGGTTAGAATTGATCCCATTATTCACATGTTCCAAGAACTTCCTTTTCAGTTCAGACATTATCAGGATTTACCATAATGTTTAAAAACAGAAAGCTAAAGGCTCCATTTGGGAGGTTGAAGAAAATACTTTTACAAGATATAAAAACTATAGAAGTGTATATTTGATGACAAAATAAGATAGGAAAAAATGCATAAAATTCTAATCTGGCCTGTTGGACTGGTTAAATTTTTTGATTTTCACTATTCTACTTGGCCCGTGGGCCTCTTAGCTGGTCAGGGCTGACTAAACAATGCAAAGTTAGGACCCTGGTAAGTACTAAGGCAACAATAGGTAAATCTCTACTTAGAAAACTACTACAAAATGACACAAAACTGTATGGTTAATTTGTTGACTTTAAGAGGGTAGTAGTGTCACACATAATAAAAGACTTGTAGATTTCTGATAAAAAAATATATTTCTAGTGTTCATGATATTACTAAGAATTAAAGCTAATTTATACATGCAGCTTGCATTTTATGATTTTTATTTGCATTTGAATTTGTTTTAGCATTAAGGAAAAAGAATGTTATATTTTAAGTTCAATTTATTTTCTAATGCTATCTAGTGATCCATTAAATGTATTTTATTACCCTATGTGTGGTTATTTGAACTTACATATGAAGAGAGGCTGTTAAATAGAAACTGTAAAAGAACATAATTATTTTGTTTAGCACTTTAGTAATATTGACATGAAAGTAAATAGACCTCTACAATTAATAAAGAATTTACTGGGTATATATATATATATATATATATGGCATTAACTTTTTTTTTCACACAACAGTTTTAAACTAAGACATATAGTAAAGTATGAAACTTTTTAAGACATATGGTAGAATACAGAAACACTTATTCAGACATATGGTAGAATACAGAAACACTTATTCAGACATATGGTAGAATACAGAAACACTTATTCAGACATATGGTAGAATACAGAAACACTTATCAGACATATGGTAGAATACAGAAACACTTATTCAGACATATGGTAGAATACAGAAACACTTATTCAGACATATGGTAGAATACAGAAACACTTATT